TAGTTGGTACTAGATATAATATGCTCAAAATTGATAAATTATTTAAGCCATTATTACAGGGCTATAGATTAGGTAACGCACCCTAGCTTTCAAAACTTTTTGTAAGGGGGCGCTAATATTATTTAACTATACAGTTTGACATTCTGTATTGTTTCTAATAAAAAAAAGAAATTGCCAAAAAACATGATGTCCCATGTCCAACAAAAACTATGTCCAATGTCCAATAAAAACTATGTCCCATATCCAACAAAAACTATGTCCCATGTCCAACAAAAACTATAATGTACCATGTCCAATAAAAACTATGTCCCATGTCCTAAAAAAACTATGTCCCCTTCCAACAAAAACTATATCCCATGTCCAATAAAAACTATGTTCAATGTCCAATAAAAACTATGTCCCATGTCCAACAAATCTATGTCCCATGTTCAACAAAAACTATGTCCCATGTCCAACAAAAACTATGTCCCATCACCAACAAAAAACTGTCAATTATTATTTCTCTACGGTCAGTGATCTCATATATATCGATTGTAAAAAAACTAATCATGAATCATGATTCATATCTATAGCAAGTGTTTTTTTCTTCGGGTTTTCTATCACATTTCAAGTGGTAATTTTGAAAGTGCTATTTGCTTTTTTAAGCTTTTTCCGTAATGATAGTTTTAAAAAATTTTCTTCGTAATTATTTTTTTTGTCCTTTAAAGAATCCGGCTTTCAGAATTCTTTTTTATATTTTAAAGTTTTAGATTGAGAATAGTTATGTGTTTCCTCCCTATTATATAAAATATTTTGTTTACATTCTAAAATAAATTGAATATATTACATGATTTGCACATGTGCCACAAAACTTTTAACTACGCAGTTTAATTCGGGGGCAAGATTTTCAAAACATGTGACAATTGTACATAATGTTTATAACTATTTTAGTTATTTAATTTTAAAATTTTTTATTTCACCATCACATTCTTACACTTTTTTTTCTGATTTCGTTTTTTTTTCATTTTCAAATTAGCGCTAAGCTTAAGAATTTATATTTTTTAATAATTTTTTATTGCGTGTATTTAACTGAAGTTATTGTGGGGGAAGGGTGAAAAAATTTCAAAGTAAGGTTTTCAAAAGTTTAAAAATTTTGAAAATCTGAAATTGTGGATTTCAGCATTACCATTTGTTTTTTGATCGCCCCGGGCCAACTTGAGTTTTTATATATTTAAAAATGATTATTCCAATAAAAGTTTTCACAACAACAGGTTAAGTATCAAAAGTCAACATTTCGTGCAATCAATGGGAAATACCCAGACTTCTCCCAGAGGCTTGAACTATTATTGGTTCAGTTAAATATTCCTTTACGACGACTCACAGAAATCTCGAGATCTATCAAAGTTATGTATTAAAGTGTAAGTCCGGGTCGACTTTGCCTTCTGTTTTACCTGACTAATTCAATAATAATTTGATGTAGCTCTGAACAATGTTCATTTAAAAACTGCAAGACTCTAGTTTCTAGCTTAATTGGCAAAATTCTGACAAAACATGCTTCTTTTGGTTCATTCTATACAGTTTGCCTTATTTAAAGCTGCTATTCTACACTTCTAGAACTTTTACTTTCTACTGCCTTCCACCTGATTAAACTGTTATTAATACTGATAATCTGAGATTCTTTATAGGCATGTTTACTTAAAGGGACTATGCGCTTAATTTGAAGTAACCCTCCATGCAAAGATGGAAATACACGATTCACAACAATACCCCATAAACGCTTTGTCTCATCTAGTTGAACGTCTTTAATTTCGAAAATAATAATTTTCAAGTGTGGATTCTCTACGAAAGTGACTTACGCATTAATCCACTACAGAAAACCTACACGTTTTATCAGAATCCAACGCGTATAAAACCTCGAAAAGCGGCAATATGTTATTTATAAGCTAAAGGTTGTGAATCGGGCATTGCCATCTTTGCATATGATGACTTAAAATTTTGCTTACAGTCCCTTTAAATGCAAAACTAGTTTTCCCTATTATTTCATTTATTTATTTATTCTCCGAACTTTAGACCACGAGATGTTGGGAATTTTCTAAAAAGCACCTGTTTATTCTGAATAGTGTACTGTTTGTGTGTGTTTATATAAGAACTATGTCTGCTTCATGTGTAGTGTGTACATCAATAGATTCTAAACTTGTATGTTTGTATTTCCAGGAAGCCTAGAGCCTGAAGCAGGGCTAGTTGAGTTAAGGCAGTGAGACAGACAGTGTGCTAGGAGAGTGAGAAGTTAGTAGGAAGATTTGGACTCCACTGGAGACTAGCGGAGGGATTTTATTTTCACCGGAGGGGTTTGAGAAACTTACTATTATTGAATTGAAACTTTACACAGTGTGATTTACATTCCACCGGAGGGATTCAGATAGTCTACCTAGGGCTCTAAATTCCCACTGGAGGGATTCAGATATCTTCCCAGCAGGTTTATGATTCCACTGGAGGGATTTCGTATCCATCTAGGGGGTTTACAATTCCACTGGAGGGATTCAGATATCCATCCATAGGGGTCATTATCCCACTGGAGGGGTTCAGATATCCATCTAAGGGGGTTGACAATCCCACTGGAGGGATTCAGATAGTCTCCCTAGGGCTCTAAAATCCCACTGGAGGGATTCAGATATCTTCCCAGAAGGTTTATCATTCCACTGGAGGGATTTTGTATCCATCTAGGGGGTTTACATTTCCACTGGAGGGATTNGTTTCTGTGGAGCAAGTTAATTTAAGTTATATATTTAACCATATCTAAAACAAAGCAACAAATTACATTTTTAATTCAACAGTGATATTTATTGTATTAAATACAAAGCTTTTGTGTAACTATTTTATATTGTTGTTCTGGTCAATGAGGGAGGTGTGGCTGCTCCCAGGGTTTTGGAGTAAAATGTGAAAATTTATCCGACTTTTTATGACACGTCTTTTAAAAGGGAAACTTTCAAACCGAAAATATAAAAACAGGGCTATGCTACCCCTTTTTTACTGTATTTGTTCAGATATTTTCAGAAAAAAAAATCCCAAACTTTGCCACAAACTCAATTTTTCTAATCACTTTATCTTTTTAACCTGATGGTTTACACTATTGATATTTCAAACTTTGATTATTTGATCTCACAGAATTCTTAGTTTGAAATATCTAAGGTCTAAGATACAAGGTTTTAAACTGGAATTCTGTTAAAAAAAGAAAACTTAAAACAACGTTTAACCAATATTAGGCAAATTCAGTCAGTTTTGTAACACAACTGATATTGAAATAAATATTTTAAATTTTGCAAATTTGCATATTTGTTGGGAGATTTTTACAGTAGAGCTAAAGGGCTGTTCAAAAGTTTTAGATTTATGCCACAATAAGGAAATAAAGGGTGATGGTCCATAATAGGACACCCCCAAACTATTTTGGGTAAACCAGACAGTCAGCTTAATAGAATTAAAGAATACATAAAGAAATAATCAATCATACGTCATAAAAATGAATTGAATAGTGAAATCTATGGTTGGAGGTTGCGTGAATATTAACTATTAAGACGACTTGAAAGTTAAAACTCTTTTTCCTTCATTGTGGCCTTGAAATGTCTTATGTAATGATTTCGCAAAAAGAGAAGTTTCAATCGTACAACCGTCTCCGAAGTCTTATCCTATGTGGGATTAAAGAAATTGTAAATCTGAAGTAATCAACTTTAAAAATTGCAGTAAATGAATACAACAATCTCTCATTAATTTTTATAATAACCCCAAGGATAGACTCCAGGATGAATATCTGAATATCTAATATGATTGTGAATCCCATAGATGATTATATGAATCCCTCTGATGGGATTTTGAACCCCTCCTAGATGGATATCTGAATCCCTCCAGTAGGATTATAAAACGAATGGATGGATATCTGAATCCCTCCAGTGGAATCATAAACCTTTTGGGAAGACATCTAAATCCTTCCAGTGGGATTAAAAACTTCATGGATGGATATCTGAATCCCTCCAGTGGAATTATAAACCCCTTGGAAGGATAACTAAATCCCTCCAGTGGAATTATAAACCCCCAGGAAGGATATCTGAATCCCTCCAGTGGAATTATAAACCCCCAGGAAGGATATCTGAATCCCTCCAGTGGAATTATAAACCCCTTGGAAGGATAACTGAATCCCTCCAGTGGAATTATAAACCCCTTGGATGGATAACTGAATCATTCCAGTGGAATTATAAACCCCCAGGAAGGATATCTGAATCCCTCCAATGGAGTTATAAACCCCTAGGAAGGATAAGTGAATCCCTCTAGTGGAATTATAACCTCCTGGGAAGGATATCTGAATCCCTCCAGAGGAATTATAAACCCCTGGGAAGGATAACTGAATCCCTCCAGTGAAATTATAACCTCCCGGGAAGGATATCTGAATCCCTCCAGTGGAATTATAAACCCCTTGAAAGGATAACTGAAACCCTCCAGTGGAATTATAAACCCCTAGGAAGGATAACTGAATCCCTCCAGTGGAATTATAAACCCCTAGGAAGGATAACTGAATCCCTCCAGTGGAATTATAAACCCCTTGGAAGGATATCTGAATCCCTCCAGTGGGATTATGAAGCCCCCTAGATGGATATCTGAATCCCTCCAGTGGGATTATAAACCACATGAAGTTGATATCTTAATCCCTCCTGTGGGATTATCAACCCCCTTAGATGGATATCTGAATCCCTCCAGTGGGATTGTGAACCCCCCCTAGATGGATATCTGAACCCCTCCATTGGGATTTTAATCCCCATGGTTGGATATCTGAATCCCTCCAGTGGAATAATAAACCTTCTGGGAAGATATCTGAATCCCTCCAGTGAAACCGCATGCATGGATATCTGAATCCCTCCAGTGGGATTATGAAGCCCCCTAGATGGATATCTTAATCCCTCCAGTGTGATTATAAACTGCATAGATAGATATCTGAATCCCTCCAGTGGGATTATAACCCCCATGATTGGATATCTGAATCCCTCCAGTGGAATTGTAAACCCTCTAGATGGATACAAAATCCCTCCAGTGGAATTATAATCCTGCTGGGAAGATATCTAAATCCCTCCAGTGGGATTTTAGAGCCCTAGGGAGACTATCTGAATCCCTCCGGTGGAATGTAAATCACACTGTGTAAAGTTTCAATTCAATAATTGTAATTTCTCAAACCCCTCCGGTGAAAATAACATCCCTCCGCCAGTCTCCAGTGGAGTCCATATCTTCCTACTAACTTCTTTGACGCGTGTGCTAGTGCAATGCACGGATATAAAACCGGATAATCAACTCATTCATCAAACAGACTCTTCGTGAATATGTGACAAGTTAAACTTTAAGTGATGTGTAGAAAAATCAATCGTGATAATACATCACAGTGAGATAAAAATGTCTTAAAGTCACATCACAGTGGATTAAAATTGGTGAAATGTCTGATAACAAACAGACGAAGATGTCAGCGATGCTATTTCTTCTACTTTTGCTTCTACCCTACGCTGTCAAAGGATTTACGTGTTCGGACAACAAGGTTGGGGTGAAAACTAAATGTTTATTTTAAAATTTTTTTCTTAATTTTAACACACAAAAATGTCTCTCATTTTTTTTAAACTATTGCCTAATTCTACATCAGGAACTATACTAGATATTTCAATTTGCTTACATTTAATGTGTACTGCCGGAACCCCCTTATCTTTGTTTACATTAAATATGTAGCACAGGAACCCCCTTATCTTTGTTTACATTTATAAGAATGTGCTAAGGAACCCCCTTATATTTGTTTACATTAAATGTGTACTGCAGGAACCCCCTTATCTTTGTTTACATTTATAAATACTGCAGGAACCCCCTTATCTTTGTTTACATTTATAAATATGTGCTGCAGGAACCCCCTTATCTTTGTTTTAAATGTGTATACCGTTTTCCCTCATTGAAAAAGTTGTATTTTTTATTTCAATTACAGAAAGTTTTGAAGTGTTAATGAAAGAATTTACCTCTAAACAATAAGGTTGGAAGTTGTTTCTGTGATTTCGACCAGCGAGCTGATTATGAGATCCATTGTCCCTATATAGAGTCCAAGTTCTCTATAGCACTAGATGTTGGAAGACAGGCGTCTGTCACTTGCAATCCAGCAACCACATATATAGAGATGGTAGAATACCTTCAAGGATTAGACCTGGGCATATTGAAACATTTGAAGATTGTAAACTGTCCTGTTCCTGAGGATAGTTTTCAGGTATTAATATTATCATTATCATTATCATCAATATGAATATCAATATCAATATTATTATTTTATAATAATTGTTTCATTATCATTATAGGTGTTATTATTACATTAGTTTATCATGATCATGATCATTATCAATATTATTATTATCATTTTATTAATTTAGGATTTGATATTCAATCAAATGGGTGCTAAAGGAGTGTTGGCCTTCCAGTTCCGGAATGGGAAGAGCTATGACCGGCAGCTGCTACCTTTCCATTTTAAGAATTTGACCGAGCTGATACAGCTTGATCTTTCGGGCAGTCTCTTGGGAACACCGGTCAATAGTGAGTTCTTTACAGGGATGGATAACTTGAAATTCCTGGATTTGAGTGGGAACAAAGGAATGAATCTACACTCTGGAACGTTCCAAAACCTTACTAGTCTAATAACAGTGAACTTGGCAGACTGTGATTTAGCGGAACTTGACGAAGATTTGTTTTTAAGTCAAACAAATCTTACATCTCTTAATCTACATTCAAACCTACTATCTGAGCTGAAACCCAACATTTTTCGAAATCTGAACAGTTTGGAATTGCTTTTTATTAAAGCCAACAAGCTGACCAGCCTACCTACTGGCATATTTGACCCACTGAAAAATCTTACCAGTATTGATATGGGGTTCAATATGTATCAAAGTTTACCAGAAAACATATTTTCCAAAAATACTAAGTTAAAAGATGTTGTTTTTATCATAAACGGAGAATTTTGTGGAGGTGGGGCAGCTGAATGTGCAGATAAAGTAAAAAAGATAGATCTACCCTCAACCTTGTTTCAAAACCCTAGTATAGAGTCCATTAAAATCCTCCATGTTCCTTCCAACACCATTCCCTCAAACATCTTTAAAGGCGCTACCAACCTCAAGAATGTAACAATACAATCATCTTATTTGGAGGATTTACCAGTTGGACTTTTTAGAGATTCTTCAAGCATAGAAAAGATTGATTTCTCTGGAAACCTTATTCGAAACCTCACATCAGGTGTTTTTGATGGCCTGCGAAGTTTGACAACCCTAAGGCTTCTTAAAAACCGCATCACCAAAATTTCTGACATGATATTCAAAGATCTGGACTTTCTTGAAAGCCTGGAGCTTCAAGATAACCTGATCAGCAAAATTGACCGAGATGCTTTTGTGTTCTTGAAGAAGTTGAAGCATCTTGATTTATCAAGCAATAGCTTGGTTTACAATGCTGGCGACGGGAATTCATTTCTGTCCTCGCAGGTTTTCCAAGAACTAGTGTCAATCAATCTCTCAAAAAACTCGTTCTCAACAATCGAAGAAAATATTGTGGCAAATTGTTTAAAGTTGGAAAAATTAGACCTAAGCTACAATAGTTTCAGAGTGCTTCATATGATAGATTTTAACTTTGTGAAAAGTAAAAAGATATTGTTTGATCTGTCGTATAATCAAATTGAACGAGTTCCATTAACACCAGATAGCAGAGCTGAGCTCTCTTTTAAAAATAAAACTGAATCCTTTGATTTGAACATATCTGGCAACCCTTTTATTTGTGACTGTTTTATAATAGACTTGAAGAAAAAATTTGAAGGAACTCTGGATACAGTTTATGACAAAGCTTTCACGCTTGTTCCGTCCCAAAATGTGAATTGTGGACCCAAATCTCATCCTGATCTCATTGGAAAATCTCTGCAATCAGTTGATTACGTGGATCTAAACTGCCATTTTCCTTCTGATTTAATAAGCAGCAAATGTCCCAACAGATGTGGCTGTTCATGGAATAGATTTCTGTCCCGAGTGCTTGTGAACTGTACGCGGCAAAAAATGAATAAGTTCCCGGATTTTCTGCCATTGTTCAAGGATTTCAAGGATTCAAAACTTGAGATCCATCTTGAACATAATCTGATTTCAAACCTGACCGAGGCTGTGCAGCACTACTTCGACCAGAAGGACTCCAACTTCATGGAGATTGAGTATCTCTATCTGACCGGAAACCTCATCAATGAATTTCATCAGAGCTCTTTGCCCCCTAACCTCAAGGCTCTTCACATTGATGAAAACCAAATTGAAAGTTTTTTCAAATCCGATCTGAACTATTTTGATTCTCTGATCAACCAGACTAAACTGGAATTAAAACTGGGGAAAAATCCGTATTTATGCAGTTGTGATTCCCAGGATCTTTATCATTTTTTGCGGGACCGAGGCTCATTTATCCTTGATAAGTCCGACGTTATCCTAGCTTGCCCTGACAACATCACCCCTCTGGCTGAGTCTAAGATCAGTGATTTCTGTCTCTATCTTCCTCCACCAGAGATCATTGCGATCATCATTATTGTCATATTTTTCCTGATCTCGGCGATCATTCTTCTGTTCTTCTACACCTGCTATAGAGAGACCATTCTCATCTGGATCTACTCCAAGTCCTGGTCCAGGTAAAGCTTCACAATGTTCCAAACTTTTCAGATACATCAAATTGTCCCAACATTTTTGCAAACTACGATTTTCCAAATTGAGATATTTTTCCAAATTAAACATTTTTCCAAATTACACATTTTTACAAATTGAACATTAATCCAAATTAAACATTTTTCCAAATTGAACATTTTCCAAATAGAACATTTTTCCAAAAAGAACATTTTTCCAATTGTTCCATCCTAAATGTACAGCCTATAGCCTGCCTAACCTGAATTCTAATGTTTGTAAAATGTCCAAATTAAATTATTTATTTATCTTTTTTTGATAAAAGATATCTAAAATACAAAAAATTAGTTTTTGTTTTCAATACTGAAATCCTCTATTTAAATTGTGCCGCGTCCGATTCCAACTGTGCCCTTTAAAATGAGCAAAAATTTTGAAAATGTTTTCTATCTGAAAAATGATAGTGTATTGCAGTTTCTCTCAAACTAGTCCAACTTCCAGATTTATGCAGCAGAGACGACAGGAATTGATAAAATTTAACACTTTTTAAGATAGACAATCCTTCCTCAATGTTTCATGTTCAGATAAGTTATAAAGAAGGCTGTTGTACATCGTGCGTGCAATTCTTTAGTAGTTGGATCCCTTAACATTTCGTCGACAGTCCCTTTAGGACATGATGCAGGTTGTGATGCATTCATCTCTGATGCATTCTTATTTCAGATTTCTGTTCACAGACGAGATTATTGACAGTGATAAGCCTTATGATGCATTTATCTCTTATTCTCATCATGACACAGACTTTGTTAATCAGGCATTTATAAAATTATACATCATTAAACAATCAACAATAATAACCAAACAGAGATGAAAAGCTCTTTTGTTGGGGGTTGGGGTCCAAATGCACACTGCTCTTTTCGTGAACTAGCTTTTGTTAGAAAGGGGAAGGGAAGGGGGGTTAATGTTTATTAATAATTTGAATATAGGTATTTTAGTTTTCAATATATTTCGAAAAGTGACAAATTATTTGATGTTTTAAATGTGAAAAAATCATTTTGGACAATTTCTTTGTGCCCAAATGAAGGGAGGGGAAGTGGAGAGAAGGGGGGGGGGGAGGGTAGAAGTCTCTATTTATCTGAACTCTACGTTCTAAAACCTGTTCTTGTGCCCAATCTATTTATGTTAATGCTAGAATGGAGCAAAAGTGCAATTTTAAGCTGGGATTTCAAATTATAAAGATTAGACTGATATCGTTCATTTATTTCGGGGGAGGGGGGGGGGGGTTTAGGTAAAAAATTGACGACGTTTTCTGTTATTTTAGATTATAAAGGATTGATATTGTGTGTTTGAAATTGAGCAATTATCTAACCTCAAAACTACTTTTCTTTAACAAATCTATTAGGATTAAGGAATTAAGGTTATTAAGTTTAGAGTTAAAATATATTTCAAAAGTTTAAATTTTAATCCGGACAGAGTTTTAAGACTAGTTATTTCTATGTAATCAATAAAACAGATGCAAAACGTTTTACATTAAAAATGCGTCTATTTCGGAATTTCCAATAATTTGTAAATTTCCCTTAGCCTTATTTTCTGATTTTATCAAGCGTAAATTTTCTAAATCATCAGTAGAATAAAATCTACATCATTAAGAAAACGTTATAATAAACCTAAAAAAGAAATAAATATCTGCCTTAGGATATATTTTATTATTTAACGCATTGAATTTAGTAAAACTGAAGGCTCAGTCTTTGGTATATTAGTAATTAAAAATGGTGGTTTCGGAAGCAAAGGGCCCACAGGCGCACTGCATTACGAAAATTTTAAAAATTTTTATCTTATTTTTCTGAATTTAAAAAAATAAATTTTGTTCGTGCTCTTAATATATATTTTTTTTAAAATAAGGGGTTCTGCCTCTTTATTTTTTTTTTTCTTAATTTTTTATAAAATGCAACTTTAGGTTTTGTTGCCGGGATTAGAATCTCCAGATGATTTTTCATACAGGTATTTAATTTTTTATTTTTCATACAGGTATTTAATTTTTTATTTTTCATACAGGTATTTAAGTTTTTAGTTTTCATACAGGTATTTAAGTTTTTATTTTTCATACAGGTATTTAAGTTTTTATTTTTCATACAGGTATTAAATTTTTTAGTTTTCATACAGGTTTTTAAGTTTTTATTTTTCATACAGGTATTTAAGTTTTTAGTTTTCATAATGGTATTTAAGTTTTTATTTTTCATTCAAGTATTTCAGTTTTTATTTTTCTTACAGGTATTCAGGTTTTTAAGCATTTTTTTGGTGAAAAAACATTATTGAGAGACACCCAGTAGGTATATCGTGAAGTGTGGACTGTAATCATAATTATCAAAAGTCAATTAAAATGGCGATATTATAATGTCCGATATTATAATTATATATATTATATAATTATTATAATGTCCTGTAAAGTTTGATTTGAAATTTTAAAAATAAGATATAAACTTATTTGCTTATTTATTTTTGTCATTTCGGTAAATATTAGCAAAAATATTTTTGATATATTTTTGCATCATTAAAAAAATATTTTCATTTTTCCTTAACAGTGCTTATTATTTACGAAATAATTTAATAAAATAGTTTTCCACATTTGGAAAATATATTTATTTTCTTGCACAAACTTAAATTTCAATAAAATATCTAGCTATCTTTTTAAAAAAATCTTTTATTACTGCTTTAGGGGGGGGGCAATAAAATGTCATAATTATTTTTTTATACTTTTACTTTTATCGCTTTATTTCAGGACTTTTTTTCTCACGTTTTATCCTACTTATAGAAAGACTGGGCTGGAACTTGAATAGCAAATTCTCTTAACTATATAGTATTTAGGTTAAAATGAATGTGCAATTTACCAATTAGATTTTCAAAGGCCAATCAATTATTAGAACTTTGTAATTTCAAAAGGTTAAAATTTTTTGGAATTTAAAAATATTCCAAATATATCGTGTAAAAATGTAAAAACTTTAAATTTTACCCGGTTTTTATCTTTTAACCAATGAATTCATATCCATTTAACTTTCAAAAATTTACATTAGATAAATGCCATATGTCATAACTCATGAGTTAGCTGAACCACGCCAGCTAACACAACTATTGGGTGTAAATCTTATATGTTTTGAACCACAACTCATCTGAATATAGAAGAAAAATGTGTAACAGGAAAAGTTCGTCCAAAAAAATGTGAAATCAAAACTAGAGGAGGATCTACGAGGTCACAAAGTCGTACCAGTAATTTAAAATCAGTTTGACTTTCTCCTTCTAGCTTAACGACACTATGCTAAATGACATACATAAATTCCAATATGCAACTTTAAAATATTTAAGATAAGATTTTCTTTTCTCTTCCTGTAAATTAAAGGCGCATTAAGTACAGTTTATACGTTATTTAGAATATACATCACTCCTGTATGCTGATTCCATTAGCGCCTGATCCAATCAGGGTTCAGTCATGTGTTTTTTGTCTATTCTGAACCAATAGAAATAGTATGGCGGTAACATCTATCTTTCTATTTATCTCATTATCCAATAAGAGTTATGAATGCTTCAATCGGCGCTAAGAGTAAATGGAAATATTTACTTCTACTGAAACTGTATATTAAAACAAAGTTCTTTGTGTCCCATGGCTTTCTCCAAATAAAACATTAAAAATTTCTTTTAATATATATTATATATATAAATATATTTACATTTTCTTTGTTCTATTATATTTTGTACATTAAATATCAAAATATTTAAATTAAATATTACAAATATTTAAAATAACAATTACAAATATCTAAATTAAATATATTACATACAACCTTGAACATATTAACAATTTTTAGTCAAAAACGAAAAAATGTAAACTAATGAGAAATTATACCTACCCTCAGAGCTGGGAACTTTTGAATGGTGGATATCGGGATTAATGTTTGATCCACTCTTTTTTTAAATCTCGAGATTAAATAACGCTTGTTGTCCTCTTTTTGTTAATCTCCAGATTAATTAACCGATCGGGATTAAGGATATCCCATTCTAAAGTTTTCAGCTCAGGTACCTCAGATCAAGTAAAAAATTTAATTTCACAGATAAATTCGGATTCATTTATTTACAGGATGGTTCAGGATTCGGATTTGCATTAAATAATCTCAAGACATTTAAAAACTCTTAGCTGCAGACTATATAGATATATAAAACTCTTAGCTGCAGAATATATATAGATATATAAAACTCATTTTCTAATTTTTTTTTATCTGTTGCAGTAAAGCACTAAACTCTTGTAGTTATGAAAGGGCACGGTTTTGGATGGCTGGTTACTAAAGTTTTAACAAGAAAACTTTAAAATTTCTTATCATCGTAACATTGATGTAGCGGGGCCATTAATAGGGAATCATAACTTTTTTTGCGTTAAAAATAGAAAATAATATTTTAAGATTTTTACAATTTGGGTTAATAATGATTTCCCCAAAAAAGATGGTTTTTTGTTGTTGATGAAATCTCAAGCATTTGCATATTATCCTCCGAGGCTCCCACTAAAATGTATGAATGAAGGTCTGCACAAAAAAAGCCATGGAAATTCAGATTTAGTTGTAGCATTGACAATGTTATCTTCAGATTTAGTTCTAGCATTGACAATGTTATCTTCAGATTTAGTTCTAGCATTGACAATGTTATCTTCAGATTTAGTTGTAGCATTGACAATGTTATCTTCAGATTTCTTGTCTCTGTACTGTGTTTGTTCACTCTAGACATAAACGGAAAAGGTCAAAGTAATTGATTCTTTGATACTAAGTCAAAATTTCTCTATATCTTTGCCAACTAAAGATGTAAACCTTTGATATTTCAAACTTAGATTATTTTATCTACCAGGATTCATAGTCTGTAATATCCAAGTTTTACGACATTGGGTTGAAAAGATATAGGGATTAGAAAATTTGAGTTTGTGGCAAAGGCTTTATTCCATTATGCGAAATTTATAGTGCGACTTTTAGACCTCGTAGCTCATTTAGACTTGATTTAATGCCCAAGTATATTAGATGTTCTTTATTTTTCCTCTTAATGCTAATAATTCTTTATAATAAAGGAGCTGGTGTTGAAAACGTGTAAAAGTTCAATCTAACCTCAAATTTAGCATTTTATTTGCTTTTCATGTCACTGTTTAGCAAACTGGAAAGGTTCAAAATGCCAACCCCAAACTTCATTGTTGTTTTATGTTCAGGTATAAGTGTTTGACCCATCAGAAGGACTGGCTTGTCGGTCAACCCATCCCGGAGAATATTATAAACAGTGTACAGTCCAGTAGAAGGACTTTGATAGTCCTTAGCAAGGACTTTATCCAGTCCATGTGGAGCAAACTAGAGTTTAGAGCAGCGCATGCGCAGGCCTTGCAGGACAAAACACAGGTAAATATTCACAAAGAAACATTAAGGGAGGTCGGGTTTGCAAATTCTTATTGCTTCATCCAAAATATCATTTATATTAGATATAATAAAACGTTTTCTCTCAAGATAAAATTTCGCGGTCGAAATCCGGTTTTATAAGATTAAATTTAATGATCAACGTGACTAATGCAAGCGAATTTGATCAACGTGACTAATGAAAGCGAATTTGATCAACGTGACTGATGCAAGCGAATTTTTTTTTGGTATCAAAAAGATCCGTCCAAAAATAACCTGTTTTTGCACCTGACTCTGAACTCAACAAATTTTTAAATATCGAAAAACTCAAAACGTACTGTTTATCAACGGCTTGAGCGGATCTTCGGCGCATGTGTTCTGAAGTTTCTTTTTTTTCTAGTGGATTAAAAAAAATGTTTGAAATTCAAATTAGTCCTACTATAAATTGATTTCACAGAAGAAAAAAAAAATCTCAAAGAAAATTCTTACAAATTCGACCTCCCTTAGCAGATTGTATCCTGACATAGGAAATTTTGAAACTATATATAAATCCCTAGTGGATCGGATTAGTGCTTTAGAAAGAAATTAAAAATTTATTCAAAAGTTCCAGCCTCTGATCTTTTACTAACAAGATAAAAATGGAAAAGGGTTAATTGTTTTTGTTAAGAAACGGCGATTATATAAATTTGTTGATAAATTCATTTGATTATGGAGTTCTTGTTAAGAAATAAAAAAGTTCAACAGTCGACTAAAACTATTTAACAATGGTTAACTGACGATATAAATAGATTAAATATAAAATATTGGATATTGTTACAATGGGCCATAACCAACTTAATTGATTATGCATTATTATGCATTAAAACTTTGCTTATCAAATTAAGGACTTTTTATGAAAAATTATATTTTATAAAATTTAATTTCACTTTTTCTCTTGGAATGTGGAAATAAAAGGAGAGAATTTGTTATATTTATCTTGCATTTACATTTACATTCGAGATTAAAAAAGCTGTTTTACTTATAGTTTTACTTAGTGAAGTCAATGAGTCTTTGTCCCAAACTCTGATTTTCTAATCCTTATATCTTTGCAACACAATGTTGGAAAACTCAATTCCTCTTTAGAAAGTATAGAAACAAAAATTCAAGAGAAAAATTTTTAAAAAAATTGAAATAAAAAATGCTGTCACCAAAACATATCAAAACAATCTTATTTGTGTTAAATCCAAAAAAATGGTCCTTCATTTTGGACTAAAAAAAGCACAAATGCAATTTTTTTTAGAGAGTTGTGATAATAGTGCGTGGTGAGCTGCCTGCTGAAGAGGATATGGAGGAGGATTTAAAGAAGTATATTAGGATGAATACTTACATTGAGTCAGAGAATCCATGGTTTTGGCAGAGATTAAGGTAAACCAATGTGTGTAGAACTAAGGTGTTGGGGAGGGGGAGGGGGTGAAGGAGGACATGAAGAATTATATCAAGTCGAATACATACATTGAATCAAAGAATCCGTGATTCTGGTATATATTAAGGTAAACCAATGTGTGTATAACTAAGGTGGAAGTAAATCAATGTTGTTTAAGGTGGTTTCACTTCCAATTAATATCCAAATGTAGACTGTAGACTTTATGAGACGACATTGATCGTCTTTGATTTTGAATTATCAGATTGTCGTCTTTTTAAATCAGATTGTCGTCTTTTTAAATCAGATTGTCGTCTTTTTAAATCTTGGTACTGAACCTTTTTATTTCAAACCAATAATAATTTTTTTTAACTTTTTTATTTCTATTTAGATATGCTTTACCTCACAGAGGTGGATTCTGGCAAAGAAGGAGAAATCAAAGAACAAGAAAGGAAACTGATCAACTTGAGCTTATGCGGGCACAGGTCAGTAAACAAGCGGGCAAACCAGAGAGCTTTTTATTTATTTAGTAAAGATTGAAATTTATGAAAAAGACCCTAATGTAGAGGCTAAAGAACTGCTTTTAAGAACGGACATTGATTTCATTGTTTAAAAAGAGTGACCGGTTAGTTGAGCTGACAGCGCAGTATTGTAAAACTTTGGTTACATTTTTCATCGTAGATTAACTAATTTTAAAAAACCGATTTTTTAAAATGGATAATCCGGGAGAATTTCAAAGATCCAATTTCCGCGCTTAATCAGCAGTTATAAACTTTACACAGTAAACACGTCTGACAGGTGTACTTACCATACTCTTAGCTCAACTACCATATCTAGTCGGTCACTCTCTTTATTAAAATTTTTCGACTCTTAACGCTAATTAATCTGTAGGTTGAAGCTGAACTAGGTAAGAGTAGTAGAACTCCTAGTCCTCCAACTATACAAACCAATCCATCAAAACCAAACAACGGTTTGGTCAACGGAAACGGGTTTTCAGGAATAAACAACATTTATCCGGAACAAAACGGGCACGTGCGTGTACACCATGAGACTAATGGTCACGTGCACAGCGATACTAACGGTCACGTGGACAGTGAGACTAACGGTCACGCGTACAGTGAGACAAATGGCCGGGTGGAGAAGGAAAGAAGAGCGCAGGAATATCTTGATAAAATTATTCCTCACAAAGCCAGTGATGGAGGAAGAATTGTCAGAGATATTCTGGGTTCTCAAAAATAATTAAAATAAACTCGGCGACAGGCGGACATTGGACAAAAACACTTTCATCCGTTCACAAAATTTCATTAACAGAGTGACTAAAAGAAATTTACTGACATCACAGCTATAAAGTATATAAACAAGCAATATAAGCATGGAAAAATATTGTTGAAATATTTGTGATGACATTATTTTTGATACGATGCTACAGTGATATTTATTGGATACAATCTTATAGTGATGGATATTAATAGTTGATATTGATAATTCCATGGATACTCAATTCATATACTATTTGTATCCAAGTGCAAACTTAGTGGAGGATTATAAGCTCAAATTATTTTGTCAGCGATGATAAACACCGGTTAAACTTTAAAGCAATATTGCCGAAAGCAGTGGAAACTTTTGAACAGACTTAATGAGTTTAACACAAATTCTCCTTAAACGAAATGCATTCAAAAGCGGTTTAACCAATGAAAGACCCTTTTAATCGATCCCCGAGGAGATAACCTGGGTTAAACCCAATTTCGTTTAATCAAAATTTTACATTTTTCAAAGATCTGATTTGTTGCGTATACTGTGCAAATCTCAATAAACATTGGAATTACGGAAACAATTAAAGTATATAAAAAAGTATACAAAAACAATGCATACAAAATTTAAGTTTTTTAGAAAGGTGCCTGCAGGCGCAGTCGATCTTTTTGAAGCAAATTCGTTTCAACGTCAGATAAAATAGATAGATAGATTTGAAAATATTACATTAAAGCATTTTTTGGGACATCCAATGTTAGAAAAACTCTAGCATTTAGACGCGGCTCAAACATGGTTGGTTCCACTTAAATTTGTATTCAGTGTTTCAAGATTTAAGCATTGCTTAATTAAATTCTTTAAATTCGGTCTCAAGATCTTTAAAAAAGCAGCAAGATCTGATTTTGAATAAAATAAATTTCTAAATATATCTGGGTTGTGTAATGTGTTTAAAGTATGTTCTTTAACCAAGTAAACAGAAGTCATGGAATAAAATAAACAATGAATTTGCAATGTACTTCTCAGTAGAGTGTGCAAATCTGTGCAATTTTCTATCAAATTTGCCCAGAAAAGGCGCGCATTTGCATCTGAGCTTCTGCGGGAAAGTGTGGACACTTTTGTGCTTGTCATCAATGAAGTGCACAAATCGGAGCATTTTTAGATAAATGCGCAAATACAGGGTGTCCCACGAAACATGACAATAGCAAGACGACTTGAAAGTCGTCTTTGGTATTTGAATTTATTTGTGACATTTAGTCTTCTATCTACTTTAACATGTATGATTCTTGAAACAATTATCACATAATTCTCCTAGCCCTTTTCCATTTCCAAAATGTGGTCTGCGTTTTTTGTGATTTCAATATTACCGGAGATATAAAGAGTTTGGTTCAGATTTCAATTTTGTTAAATAAAAGCAAAATTGTCGAAATCTGAACGAAATTCTTCATATCTCGGGCAATATTGAAAGCACAAAAAAGGCAGACCACATTTTGGAAATGGCAGAACAAGGGAAATTTTGTGATTATTATCTATAGAAATTTACTTCTAAAATTAGGTTGACAAATAAACGCAGCAAATTATATCAAAAATCAAGACGACATTCAAGTCGTCCTGCATACTGTCATGTTAAGTAGGACACCCTGTACATATATGATTTGCAAATTGTCTACACTTTCTAGTAAAGCATTAGGATTTGTGCAATTTTAAATTCAAGTTTTATAATGTTTTTTTTTACACATTTTTCAAGTATTTTGCAAAGGAACTGAGATTTAACCACAAACTCTGATTTTAAATCCTTAATCTTTGCAACCCGAAGGCGTTTTACAGTACAGTGTACTTTTTCAGATATTTGGAACAGGAGTTTAAAATGCAAGAGAAGATCAAAATAAATGAACAAAACGATTTAAAATTAATACTTCATTTTTTTCGTCATTTCGAAACCTTTAAAACCTTAATGGAATTTAAAATTATGAAAGATATGTGATCTTAAAGGCCCTGTCCACGCATACATGCAACCTTAAATATATATATAGCTTTACACTACTGAAGTATTCATTTTAAACTGATTTTGTTTTATTTCTAAAATCTTAAAAATGTAATCATGTGTTATAACTTTTACCACTAGCAACTAAAAATGCTTATCAAGTGCCTAAAAAAGAGCTTTTCAATCTTTAAAAAATGTATCGCATATTGATGTTTAAAAATTAGAAGAATTTATGTAATTTATATTTATATTTGCTTCTCAAGCTTTGTGAATGTTGCTGGCTCGTTATAAAAATAATAGACATTTTTCTTATATTAATGGTACATTTTCAACTGTTTAACTGTATTACGAAGTTTATTTCTCATGCATGATATCTTTTCATTTTTTATTTTAAATTGTCGTTTGGGTTAACATATACTTACATTTTTACATTCGTACTAAGCATTATAATAACCATGATAAAAACAGCTGATTTAAATACATTAAATATTATGGCCAAAATCAGCTGATCCCTGACATGGTCGAAATCCGCTAATCACCGTCATGGCCGAAATTCGCTAATCACCGTCATCGCTGAAGTCAACTGATCACTGTCATTGCCGAAATCAGCTGATCCCTGTTATGGCTGAATCCAGCTGATCACTGTCATTGCCGAAATCAGCTGATCACTGTCCTTTGGCCAAAATTAGTTGGCTTGACTGTCATGACCGAAAACAGCTGGTTTAACTGTCATGGCCGAATTTAGCTGATTCCTAACATGGTCGAAATCAGCAAAGTTGTCGAAATCGGCCATTTTTCCTTCTGATCTTCACGTGGCATACCTTCTGATTACGATGCAATTATAAAAATGGGATTAATCGTTACAAAGAAGATCTCAAAATTATCTATTTATTGTACAAAAATATGTTTAAATGTATATTGTAAAGTTTATTGAGATAATATCTAATATAAAAATTTATTAATTTTGCTCTGAAATAAAAAGAAAGAAAAAATAAATGAATTACATATTATTTTTTTGATTCTGGTTTCGAATAAAAAATGTTTTAATATATGGAACCCATATGATGGAATTGTTAAATCTATCAATATCTAATAGATAAAAGAAGAACTCAGAAACAAGATTGAGTTATTTCTTATTGAAAACTAATGTCTTGAGGGCATGAAGCCGCATGTTTATTTTATACTTGTTCTTAGACCTCAGAAGTAGTTTTAAGTGGCATTCAATTTTTAATTAAGGAGCAAAAATGAAAAAAACCGCATTCTTCGATTAACCTTTTTCGTTTTTCTTAAAGTGGTTTCTGTCTAAACTTGACTTGCTGATTTTACGTAGCAGAGACAAAAATGGTAGGTACAGATCGCAGTATTTTATAAACTAGGGAAAAACGTCATGTACAGAATGCAGTATTTTATAAACTCGGGAAAAACGTGATATACAGAATTCAGTCATTTATTAAACTATGGAAAAACTTCGTGTACAGAATTCAGTATTTTATAAACAATGGAAAAACGTGATGTACATAATTGAGCACTTTATAAACAACGGGAAAAACGTGATGTACATAATTCAGCACTTTATAAACTAGATAAAAGCGTGATGTACATAATTCAGCACTTAATAAACTATGGAAAAACATGATGTACATAATTCACAACGGGAAAAACGTGATGTACATAATTCAGCACTTTATAAACTAGATAAAAGCGTGATGTACATAATTCAGCACTTAATAAACTATGGAAAAAAGTGATGTACATAATTCAGCACTTTATAAACTCCGGAAAAACGTGATGTACATAATTCAGCACTTCATAAACTATTGAAAACCGTGATGGGAATAATTCAGCACTTTATAAACAATGGAAAAACGTGATGTACAGTATTCAGCACTTTATAAACTAGGGGAAAAGACGAATCTTATCTATTATTGCTCAGACAAGACAAGACAAGATACCGTGATAAATGAGGTGCTTTGTTTAATGGTTGGTCACTTGAAGACAGTCGCCTTACGAAAAGCATAATAAACGTACAGTTTCCACCTTGCCATCTTCTTTTTCAAGCTTATTTAAGAAAATGTGATGTATAAGGTGTCCCATGAAACATGACAGTAGCAAGACGATTTGAAAGTCGTCTTTCATCTCTGGATTTATTTGAGACATTCAGTCGTCGACCTTCTTTCACGCGAATGATATTTTTATTCAATTACCACAATTTGGTCAGTCTTTTTTGTGCTGTCAACTACCAAAGATATTGAGAATTTCGTTTAGATTTAAATTTTTTAAAATAAAACCTAAATTGTCAAAATCTGGACAAATTAATCATATCTCGATCCGGTAATATTGAAAGCACAAAAAAGACTGCAGACCACATTTTGTTTAGCGAATATTAACTCTGGAATTTTACTTTTAAAATTTGGTTTAAAAAAATGTCGTAAATTATTTCAAAGATCAAAGACGACATTAGGTCGACTTGCTACTGTCATGCTTCGCAGGACACCCTAATATACGACCCTTGAGGTCTAGACACCCCCCCCCCCTGCCAAAGAAAGACGAGAAAAAAATTACGAAAACTGAAAGAACAGATTTTACCGTCACAAACATTTTTTAAAGATCTGATTACTCGCCACAATCTAGATTTTTGCTAACTCATTAATATCTTTGTAACCTAATTTTTGAAATATCAAAGGCTTACACAATCAGGTTGTATTGATGTAGAGGTAAGAAAATTAGAATTTACTGCGAATTTCTTTAGTTTGTCTGTTGGTATCCCTGTGAAACACTATGCAAAATCATAGCAATTTGTTTAATAGCACAGTGAATAGATACTAAAGTGAAACAGACTAAGGCAACGCCGACAGGTTGGGCTATAAGGTTTTTATTTGGTTTGGAAATAATTGCATGAAAAGATTTCTTTTGGAAAGTAAAGACTAGAAAAAATAGAGTAAAGACCCATGTAAATGTCGTCTTCAGATAGAACTGCAAAATTTTCATAATAAAATTAAATTTTTTTGTAAGTTTGTATGTAGTTTATATGTAAATACTGTATAGTCGCTTAATCAATTCAATGATTTTGCCTGGCACTTTTAATTCTATAGGAATTTATCTTTAAAACTGCTTCATTCCGAAATATGTTTGTAAATTTCTTAAACACCCCCCTCCTGGATCAGTGAAATATATGCATTTTGGAGGGTTTTGGCCTCCCCCATTCCCCTAAAAAGAAAAAAACCTGAATACACCCCTCTTAATATCTTTAAAACTATGTCTAGTTCTCAACCACTCTTAAATATGTCAAAATACAAAAGTATTTCGAAGATCTTCATTTTAGATATCACAAATCGTGCATCCTTGTTTTACAGATTATACATGCAGGCATTATTGTGCTGTCTGAAATTATTTATTGTGCAGTATGAAATGGCTAAAATTCACTTCTGAAATCTTAATTTACGTTAATCTATATTTAATTAAGTTAAATACAAATTCTAAGATATATATATATATTTATATATATATATATATTATTTTTAAATACTTGGGACATGAAATGTCGTCATCATAATATGAGTTTGGCCCAATTTAGTATTTAATCACTTTGGTTTAAT